GCCCTGTTTTTTCTTTTTCTTTTTTCTTCTAATAGGCAGATAGTAAGTGGAAATATTTACTACTAATTGTATGGTTAGACTTCTGGAGCTTGGAAGAGATGCCTGAAATTACATGTGAAATTCCACAGTCGGTGCAGGTCACAAAGGAAAATCGGTGAAAACAGGTAGCTACCTGCCATTCTTAGTTAACACTCTATATTAACATATATGCAAAACAGACTTGTTTATATACCATGGATAACTTGTGTACTACAGGGAAGGGTCAGATGATAAATAATTATCTTCTATTCTGCAATTATGAAGCATACTTACACGGGTTTTATTCCTACTGCTGATTATATCTTTTGGTACAAAATTAGGATCATAACGCACTTTGTGTTACACACATTTTGAAGCAGTTTCTAATTTAAGCCATGGAGTTCACATCATTCACTCATTGGGAAAGATTAAAAAAAAAAAAAGCTTGATATTTCATCTCTGAGATTTCTTTTCTTATGATAAACGGTAAGACAGAACTGGATTTTTAATGTTCTGTTTTCTCCATTGCCATGAAACACCTATGCTTAGGATTCTAAATGATATTTTATCAGATCAAAAATGAACATTTTGAAATCTGAGTATTTATGTGTAACTGGAGACTTGAATTTTAGCAGGATTAAAAGGTGAGGACACAGCAAATTCTTAAATAGTGCCATAAGAAAAGCAAAAAACACTCTCTAGATTACAGAAGCAGGCTTCTGGAGATAAGCGTCTTCAAACTCGGTATTTTGTGACTGCTTTTCCAAGTCAGCTTTCCAGAAGTATTCATAATTTCATCTATAGATATGCAAAAATAAATATTTCAGCATTCTTACACATGCAGTCACTTAAATGTGACACATCATATCCTGCATTTCAGAAGCACCCCATATTTTTTCCCTGCCTAAAATTATAAACTCGTATCGCTGCTGTATGCAGTGAATCCACAGAACATAAACAAGCATTTTGTGCAACATCAAAAAAGAGCATACTTTTCAACCCATCTAAACTTATATAAACAGAGCTCATTTCTATTTTCTGGGTTCTATTATCTTACTACAGCTGCCCAAGAAAACTAACCTCATTCTTTTACTTATGTAAGAAGGAAATCTGCTTTTTCCTAAAACCAGCTGCCTCTAGAATGATCCTTTCCATTTTCTGTGTCATTGTCAGGCAAAACGCCTGTCTTTTCATCAATTTTATGCCACCTAATTAGGAGACCTGATTCTAACTTTTGCCCTGGAAATAGTCACAGCATCTCCTTAAAATGTACTTTTATTATATGGTTTGCTAATGACCTCTCTGTCAGGTGGCAGCACTTTTCATTTCCACCTTGCTATAGCAATAAAAACAAATGGCCCACCCTGGACTATCACAGATTTACATTCTAAAACAGAGGCTGTAACAGCATCTTAGCTGCAGTCCTAACAATGGGAGCTGCATCTGAGAAATTCCATATTCATGGTAATCATTAATGGCCCTTAACTCAATAATAATCTGACCAATTTTCTTCATATTGTATTTTGCAGCAAAACAAACAGTTGGGTGCCATCTTACAGTGAGTTCATTGCAACAAAAGTGCAAATGCAAATGCTTGATAACTGTGTACAGCTGCAGAGCTCCTGTTCTTTCCGTCTGTTCTAAAAGCATTAAGCCTTCTCCTATGATCTACGAAAACATCGTGTTTGTGATCAGCAGTATCCTGGCACTCTGAGATCTAGGCAGCAGAGAGACAATTGCTTCATATATAATAATATCTCTATGAGGATGGGGATAATAAACAAACATTTAATTTTAAGGGTAGGTAGTTTAAGAGGATTCCTAGAAAGGCAAGCATACGATCCTCAATGGGTTGCAGAGATATATGAAGATCTAACTCTCTTAAAACCTTTGTTTTTTTTTTTCACAATTCTAGTTGAAACGAAAGGTCATACACTTAAAATTTCTACACTTTAATATGGATGGAAGTGATATTGTACATTTCAGCTCATGCCTTGATTGAATCTCTTTCCCCATAATACCCATATTTCCTCAAGACACTTTAAACACTTCTCAACAAGAAATAAACTCTTTGTTTTCTGAAAATCTATCACTTTCCAGGAAATCAGAACCACGTTTCTATGGATGTCTGCAATCTGAATGTCTAAATGCTAAATTAGGAAAGTTCTTACGTGCAACAGATTCAGCCACCCAGTTCTAAGGTGGCTTTCAGTTCGCCTACACATAGCCATCTAAGGTAGTCACCTACTGAAAGCTAATTAGCTATATGCCCTTGGTAAGAACTGGAGACATAGGTGCCTACAGATGAATCATTATACTTCAACCATCTATCTTTAGGTATGTGCTGCTCTCTGGAGATGATTTCTCTACCCAGTAAATATGGGGAAATATGGTCATTTATATGATCAGCAAGATGTTTAATTTAACAGCTAAAATTGAGATGCACCCTACCATGAATTGCACGGGAACTATCATTACTCAAATGTCAGCACTATTCGCATTCTGAAGAACAAAACCAAACAACATTCTGCACAAAGAAAAGCCCAGAAACAGTCCAGCTCTAGAAGTCATTGGAATTCGTTAGTAAAAGACATCTTTTTTGTCTTTGTGATTCAAGCTTGAGGGCTGGACTGGGAATTAGGTCAACCGTGATTAAGACACAAGTTCTTTAGAAGTAAGAAAACATACTGAAACAAATAGATCCCTAAAACAAAATCAAAAGTTGAATAGGAATTGCCCACTGCCTTGGTTAGATACTGGAAAAATAAAAGGTCTGTGATGTTAATCTAACAGACCATAACTCTCCCAGGGTTTTTGGGTCTAGGAAAAAAACTCTCTCCTGTTTCTTTGGGGAAGCGGGCGGCCGGGGGGGAGGTGGGGGCAGGGGGAGGTTGCTCATTTTCGTGGATTAGTAGAACCAGCTCATTTCGAATAAGAATAGACTGTTAAATCATTAAATAAAAATACTTTTTCACAGTTCCTATGACAGCCTCCGAAAAAAGGCCTTTCCATACATCTGTCTTAATATGGGACTGCAGAGTAAATGTGAAATGTTAAGAACACTAACTGATTGCTATTTTGCAGAGAAGTTCATGAGGATTTTAGTACACATGTGAAATACAGATTGCTTAGAAGGATGGAGATCATAAAAATGCCATTTTGAAAGAGATTAGGACTCATAATCAGTTCAACAGCCACCAAAATTTGAAAAGGTTACTGCCATTCAGAAAATATATTACAGCTTAACAATGTTACATATTTTGTATAGATGGTGATGAATAGAAAGGAAGAATACAGGCAAATGAAATCTGTACAAAATACACTTTTTTTGGTATAGGGTCTTCAGATGTGATAATATAATTGCTATAGTCTAATATACCTAGGAGAATCACATGTTGGTCAATGTTTGCATGAACTACATTTAGAACATTAGAAGTTTTTGATATTTTTACAGCTAGAGAGGAGTTACAGAAGAGCTCTGCTTGCTTGAGATATTGTTCGCTTGTTTCAAAAAGAATGTCAGTGTTTAAAGTGCAACCCGGTACTAATCAATCTGATTCCAGAGATGCCACCATTTCTTAGTGAGACCACGTTGGAGAACTTCACAAGGCTTCTCCTTCCATGACTTCCCATATCAAGAAAGACGTTAGAATTGAAAAGTTCCTCATTCCCATTTTTCCCTTTTTTAAAAAAATCAAAGTCATAGTTCCTTTGTGATTCTGAAGATCTTTAGCCACCTTTATTTCATTTCATATACTCTGAATAAATTTAGAGAAAAGTAGTAAAATATACAGTTTAAATCTCTTTTCCATGGACAGGAATTCTGAAAATCAACATGACTGCAAAAAGAAAGAAAGAGAAAGAGGTGGCAGAGAGAAGGAAATGTAGTACTTAAGTA